AAAAAAAAAAAAAAAAAAAAAAAGAAAAGAAATGTGGGAATCAATGGCGTGCAATCAGAGCGTGTTGGACGCAAACAGAACGGCGAGGAGGAGATCGATCGGCCAGACGTCCCGGCAGGCAATCAATCCCTCGTTTTATATTAAGAGGCTTACTCGCGCCGCGATTTCATTCCAGTTGGAGTGGCCTGATCCAATTCGATTTCACGCCGCTGTCCTCCCCCCTCCAACCCCCTTCTTCTTTCGCATGTCGCACCGTTTCTTCTTTCCCATTGACGCGAGACGCCGCGTGCCCGATCGTCGTCGCGTCGCATTCCCGGACCCTATCGAGATAACGAGAACTTTCCTCCTCCGCCGCGTCCCAGCCCCACGTTCACCACGTTTCAGTCGAACCGAGGAACCGGATCGAGTCGTTCTTTAATCCTGCGTGGAAACGCGGTCCCGTTCGTTCGTTCGTTCGTTCGTGTCTCACGGAGAACTACTGGACGAATAGACAATTTAAAAAAAAAAAAAAAAAAAAAAAGGAAGAAAATCTAGAAAAGCTGACTTGACCTTTGAGAGCTTTGAGCTCTACCGCGATTTTTGTCTTCGTCCTCCTCTTTTCATTCTCGAGAACACATCCGTGAAAACGAGAGAAATGGTCAGTTTCTTTCTTACCATTTTCATGAACAATTCGCAAGAACCGGAATCCTGGTAAAATTGAATGTAAATATAATATTAATATTAATATAAGTTTCTGGACGTTTCAAGAATCGAAATAAAATTGGACCTCCACCCTCAAAAGATGTATTGAAGTTTCGATCAAATAGTAATATTGTAGTTGCTCCCGTAGCTATGATAAAACTGTAAAAGAATTTTATAGTGACACAAATTGATCGCGAAAAACGATAAATTAATTTGATCGTGATTTGAAGAAAAATTTTTCATTGTAAAAATTGTTACAACTAAATGGAACAAACCTAACCTAAAAATAGATGAAATTCCAGTTATACGAATAGAAAAAATTATTAAACAAATATTGATGAAGATGAATGACAATGACGAATAAATTGGTCATCCAATTCCTGTGTTTGGATAGAATATATTATTTAAACGATGATGATCCAATATTATTCATTCGAGGAAAAGCTATATCTAGAGATCCTAATGGAACAAACTTAACTTAACAAACTTAACCTAAAAATAGATGAAATTCCAGTTATACGAATAGAAAAAATTATTAAA